AGAGAGAGAGAGAGAGAGAGAGAGAGAGAGAGAGAGAGAGAGAGAGTACAGAGAAGCTGCCCAGGGCTCTTCTACTGAAGGCTTTTTTCTGTGGGTTGGGGAAGGTGGGCAGTGTGCAGGGCTCTGAGTAAGAAGACACCTCCATAAGGAGCTAAAAGTCTTTGTTTTGCTCTTTCACACCTTCCCAGCTGAGGCAGCCCCTGAAGATATCCAACTCATTTTAACCCGCTTCATCCCCCCAAGTCAGTCAATGTTCAATCTCTACCTTCCAAAGAGAAAGGAAAGTGTAGGTTGCATTCATTCTCTCTCTCTCTCTCTCTCTCTCTCTCTCTCTCTCTCTCTCTCTCACTCTCTCTCTCTCCCTTTCCCTCTCCCTCCCTCTCTCTCTCCTTTTCCCTCTCCCTCCCTTTCCCTCTTCCTCCCTTTCCCTCTCCCTTCCTAATAAAACCCACTTCTGAAGCTCTTTTTGAGCAATGCTGATGATTACATACTGCCGCAGGATAATTTCCTTCCTCCTTTCTATAACCTGTCATGGGGGTGGGATCTAAAGCCTCAGAGAATGTCAAAGCCACAAGGAGGCATCCCTGCCATGCTCCTCCTCCCCAGCAATGGGTCTGTGGTTCCCCATTCTCCTCTTGGAGAACCTAGCCACTAACCACACCAAGGAAGGGACAAATCTTAAACTGATGGCTCTGGCTAAGGCCCAGACCCAGGCCATCCACTTGCCCAAGGGCATGGTCTCTCCTGCCTTACATGAGGAGGCTGGACCCTCCACATGGTTTAGAGCATAAGATTTCTCTGGATTGCAACTTCTTTGTCCTTCTACCCCTTTGACCCAAGATCCTCCCACCTCCCCTGACCTGACCCCAGGCTATTCCTGCTAGCCTAGGTGAACATAATCACAGCTCCCATTTCTACAGTGCTTTGAGGTTTAGAAAGCACTTTCCCTTCAACAATCCTGCTAGGCGGGTAGTGAAAGTATTGTTACACAGCTAATCTTAGCTGACTTGAACCTAGATCTCCAGCCTCTAATTACAGGGCTCCTCCACTGCAGAATGCAACCTATACAAACAGGTGTGTGTGTGTGTGTGTGTGTGTGTGTGTGTGTGTTGGGAGAAGTGTTGAGGAGAGCCAAGAAATGGGCATTTTCTTTCTGAGTCACTCCTTCCTCACCTCAGAATGATCACTCAATCTGGGATTGTTTAAACATCTAATTCATTTAGGCCCACCTTCCCTTGACAGATTCTAGTCATCTCCTTTGCTGGCCTGGCCCCTAAGACTGCCTGGAGAACTTTTGGCTCCATCACATCTGGGATTCAGCTTGTGGCCACTTTAGCTGCTTACCAGGGCCCCACTGATGGTCCCTTCCTAGTGACCACAAACCTTAGAATCCTCTCTGTTGCCCAGGGAGTTGCCAGAGGATCCTTGTGCCCATCCTCAGCCCTGACGCTGGCTATCTAAGGGTTCAGAAGATTAAGATTTTGAAATCCTCTGATTCTGTTCTAATAAGAAGCAAGGGAAGGAAAGTGTGTTGCTCCAGGTGGCACAGCCCGTGAGAGACAGCTCCATGGACCCACTGGCTCTAGTCTGGCTCTTTGGCAGATGAAGTCCTCACAGATCAAGCCCTTCAGCTGGATGAGGGAAAAAACCAAAGCCAGTATGCCACAGAGGTAGTGTGATCTGGTCAGTGTGGAAGATCCCAAACCATTACCCTGTCCTGCCAGGACATTGGTTTTCCCTTGCATTCTTTGCCAGATCCCAGAATATCTTTACCTTCCTGCTGCTTACACACACACACACACACACACACACACACATACATCTGTGCCAATGTCTGGCCTTCTTACCCAAAGCATTAAAAAGCTCCATCTCCGCATGCCACCCTATGCACTTTCCACTGCTTCCCCACTGTGTGGCTACATCCTAGCCCAGCAGTACCTCGCACCAGGGTATACCACTCCTCGAAGAGCCAACAGCAGGCATCAACATGTGAGTGCCAAGGACCATGGAAGAGAAGCCTCTAGAAGGCGACATTCCAACAACACCCCCACAGACACCCAAGATAAAATAATATCCATCTCCTCTTGGGACAAAACATCACTTTTACTTTCACTTAGAGTGATTGAGTCACCACCACCCCTTTCCTGTCACCATTCAGCCCTACAGTCTCAGTGAAACGGAAAATGGGTGCACCCCAAGAAGCAGCTGCTAATGACTAACTGGAATTGCTGAATCTCTTCAGTGCCTTCACAGGTAGCACAGGTCCCTTTCACCCCCTGAGCAGAAGGGTCACATTCCCCAAGTTCCCCAGCTAGGCCCAACCTAATCTTCCCCAGACCCACTCCACATCTAAACCCACCTTGAACATGCCAATACACATGACTGTCTATGTCCCTTACAGATATTCACACAACCTTCAGGTACATGCATTAACATATGCACACACATATGCTTGTACCATATATGCACCCGCTGTGACTGGCTCACACATACTCACAGCTTGCTCATGTGCGGGCAGCTTTCCTGAACATATGCATATAGCCAGCCTCCCACACATGTGCATATCATATATTCAGGTCTTGCGCACACACCCCATACTAGCATGCCTTCACATGGACCTAGCCACCTCTCATATATATGCATACACATTCAGTAAGCCCTCATGGATGCATTTATGTTTAGATTCAGACCCACACGACTATGCATACCTGTATGCAGAAACATATCAGCACAGCTTTACATATGTTTGCAGACTCACACAGACACATACACACATATATGCACGTGTTCACATACTCGGCATACTCCCAGACAATGCACATACAGACGCAAATCAGCACCATTTCATGGATCCACACAAGATGCGTGCAGATGCACAGATATACAGTTCCCTACATACATACACACCCAGCATACACAGCCTGACTGGCTGGAACCCACACTCTGAATGTCTGGTACCTCTCTGCCTTGCAAACAATCTAGCCATGAGCAGAAGACATGGGGTTAAGTGCTCACGGGGCAATGTGGTGTAGTGGAATGAACATCGTATTTGCAAGCAGAAGAACAAGGTTCAAATCCCGCTTCTCCCACTTAATACTGGTATGACCTTGGGAAAGTCACTTTGCCTCAGATGATCTGTTTTTTCATCTATAAAATGGGAGCTTTGGACTAGATAATCTCTAAGGTCCAATCCAACTCCAAACCCTATGACCCAATGCAGATGTCGCCTAATCTAATTCCCACAAGCCCATTAGGGCTCCAGGCCCCTCGAGGGTAGTGCCACGGATACCCCCTATCCTCACAACTGCTAAGCCTGTGAAAATAAACTTAGGAAAGTCTACCTGCCAACGTAGTCCCAATCCCTTCCCATTCTGTCCCCTGCATGAACCAACTCTAGCCAACATTCAAAAAATCAGGTTAAGCCCCAGCAACTATGGCTAGTATTAACTAGCCATACCCAGGCACTTCTCTATCCTCCCTCTACTTTGGCAGCTGTACAAGTTCACCCAGGACAGCTGGGCTACAGATCCCGTGGGTCCACCCCTCCCTATCCCTACAGACACAAAGTGCTCAAAGATGCCTTCTAAGCACCACTCCCAACAACCTCACCCCATTACCACAGGGCAACCAGGCTTTAACTCTGCATGGACCAGGCTAAGTACTTCATAAATGCTTGTTTCTTTCCCTCCCTCCCTACTTCTAAGGCCCTCTGTGGTGCTAACTTTGGCTGGGAGGAGCTTCCTCAGAAAAGTTGGCCACTCTCCACAGTCCGGGCAGTGTGTGCATGCATGTGCATACAGTCTGGTGCATCTATATGAGTTGCATGTGCATGAGTGTGCAAGAGCATGCTAAGTGTTTGCATGCATTCATGAGCAGGAATGAGTTCTGTAAGTATGCATGGGTCATGTACCTGAATACACACACACACACACACACACACACACACACACACTGGAGTCTTTGGGAACCTAACCTCCAATATTCCTCCAGTAAACCAACGGCTTCAATCAGACATCTCTCTTTTCCACCTGGAGGGAAGAGATCAGCCTGCTTTCCCCCCTTCCCTCACAAAGGAAACTTACTTGCCCAGTTCCTCAAAGAGCTGATATTCTTCAGTGAATCGGGTGCAGGTAATTGTGGCCATGCTGTCCAGCAAGGCAAGGAGGCAAAGCCAGGTGAGGAGAGCTGTGGAGCTGGAGAGAGGAGCTAGGCTGGAAGGCAAGTGACAGCTCACAGCTCACTGATGCCACTCCTCTCCCGGGCTCCTCTGGGGGCTCCCAGCTGCTCGCTTCTCCGAGCAGAGGGAAATGAGGGAATGGGTTTGATTGGCAAGCTTGGAGATAATGATGAAGGCAATTTGTCTCCTCTAAACCTCACAAGCCTTCGTCAGCATCCAGGTTCCCATGGCAACCACCTCTGAAACGCCCTGTTTCCGTTGCCCCAGCAACTGCTTCCCAAACACCTGCAGGCCACAGGGCCCAGGTTGGGGGCGGGGGAGGGGGAAATCAGCACCCAGGGAGAGGGAGGGGGAAAAGGAGAAGAAACTTACTCCCCAGATAAAATAAGTAAATAACCCCCCAACCCCACCCCAAACGCTGGAGTGATTGAAACAGATGGGCTAGGATTAAGTGGGGCAAAAAAGGGTTGTCATGGCAACTACCCTTGCCACATTTCAGGATGGTCCCTGAAAAGACAGGATGCTGTTACCCTAGCAACTACATCTTATCCTCCAGAAAAAACAGGTATTGCCCTGTTGCCCTGGCAACATTCAAGTTCCAAGATTTAGAGAGAAATGATGTCTAATTCAACCAGACCCATATACATCTCTTTCTCATTTCACTCTCCTTTCTCCCTGCTCACCTTTCTTCTCTTTCCTAACTCTCACTTCTCCCCTCTCTCTTACCTCTTTCACCTCTCTTTTATTCTCTCTTTTTCCTCTCACCTCTTTCTCAGCTCCAAGCTTTCTCTCCTTTCACCTATCACCCATCGCCTTTCTTTAATCTTCCCTTTCTCACTCACCTTTCTCTCTTCTCTCCTCTTTCGTGTCTCCTTTCTTTTCTACAAATACCTTCTCTCTCCCCTCTTGCTTACCTTTCTCCCCTTTTTTCTCCCTCATCTCTGCTCTCTCATCTCTATTATCACTTATTATTTCTCAGCTCTGTCCACTCTTTTTTTATTCTTCCTCCCTATCCCTCATTCCCACTCTCCTCTCTTCTGTCTCCCCTCCCCCCACCTTCTACTTCATTAAGTTCCTGCTTTTGTACTGCACCCTTGTTAGAATCACAGGCACTAGGAGGAATCCAGAGAAGAAGCCTCAGATCTGGGGTCTTGGAGAGAATCATTCCTTGTGACCCGAGACATAAGCTGGTCCTGTCACAATGCTCCTTGAGTGGACGTTAGACTCTGCCCCTCCCAGCTCTCCTTCTTTAAAGGAATCACCAAGTTGCTCTCTCCTGGGGGCTCTGTCCTAGTTTCTGTTTTCTGAACGATCCTAGGAGTGGGGGTTGGGGCAGGAGCAGCAACCCAAAGTAGTGGAAACAGAGCTGGAATTAGAAGACCTGAGTTCTACCCCACTGTGCCATTATGTGACCTTGGGCAAATGATTTCCTCTTCCCCGAAGGTGAATTTACTTATCTGTAAAATTAAAGGCGGGGGGGGGGGCAGCTAGGTGACACAGTGGATAGAGCACCAGCCCTGAAATCAGGAGGACCTGAGATCAAATTCGGTCTCAGACCAAACACTTGACACTTACTAGCTGTGTGACCCTGGGCAAGTCACTTAACCCCAATTGTCTTAAAAAAATGAAAGGGTTGGATTGGTGACCTCTAAGGGACCTCCTAGCTCTGGAGTCAATCCCCACCAAGGCACCCATGCTCCTCCTGTGTGCTTGGCCAGGCCAGTGTGGATAGTCAAGGTTAGGGGGCTGAGAGGGGAACAGAAACCAGCTTTGATCCCACCCTCCTTTCCCTGATCTTGCTCTAACCAACCACATTTGAAACAGTTGGCACATGTCTGGAAAGCAATTGTCAGCATTCTCACCATGGAACTAATCTCTATGCCCCTTGACCACCATCAACTCCCCCCCCCCCGCCCCAAAGTTCATATTCCCTGCTGACTTCTATTTTCTCCACCAGCAGCCATAACTACATGACTCCTTGCCACCACTAGCCCCAATACCTGAGACCTTACAAGCATTCACCATCCTAGCTATCACCCCATCTTTCTAGAAGAGACAAAGAGAGATCCAGGGAGGTTAGGACCACAGCTCTACCAGAAACTAATCCAGGAATACAAGTTACAGACCTATTCAAAATCATAAACTTCTATGTTTTCCCAGGGGGGAGGGAGTACCTTGGTCCCATTTCACAGCCAGATAAACTGAACCCAGATAATTGTCTTTTGGTGAGGCCAGAGTTGGGGGGGGGGGAGGGAACAATTTCAGGCATCTACATCATTCTCCAAGATTTTCCAATTCCACCCCACCCAGTTATCAGCAATGTTGGCCTCTTTCCTTGTAGGCATTTCCCAAACTCTAGTGGACTTGCTTTTATTGTTCTCCAAAATCCTTGTGTCTAGTGATACTCTAGGGATCTGGATTCCAGATGATTCTCTCTCTCTCTCTCTCTCTCTCTCACACACACACACACACACACACACACACACACACACACACACACAC